TGCCTGGCGAACGCATTTCAAGGGTCGTGGGGCGAGGAGGCAGCAGCAAAGGCAGCGGGTCGGCGTGGGCTCTCCAGCAACCATGAAGTGAAAAGGGAGATGAGTATCGTTTCACCAGCCTCCCTCCCTTCGCCTTTACTGCTTGTCGTTCTGCTTGCTGCCTGTTTTGCTCCCTTGTCGTTCCAGCTGTCTGTAGCACACCCAAGTACGTCCCCCTTTTTTTTCTGAAGGTTCAGACTTCAGGTAACCCCCTTGGTAGGTACAAAACTTTTTCCCCTAGTATGGTAAGGTAAAGGTACCTCACTCCCCTTGGGTGTGCGACAGCAGCTGTGGCCCCCCCGCGTGTTTGCATCTGGAATCGACTGCATGGGATTCGACTGACTCCTCTTGGTTCTAATCTTCCAAACCCCCCCCCCCCCCCCTTTCCCCCTCCCCTTTCGCCCTCCCCTCCCTGACTCTCAGAGCCTGTTGGCGTCAGCGACGTGGGACGCGGAGGAAGCAGCAGAGGGAGCAGCAGCGGAGCGGGTTATCTTGGGCTCTGCAGCGCCCCTCACACACCAACCAACAGATGAGTATCGCTCCACCTTCCACCCTCCCTCTGCCTTAGCGTTTTTCGCTCTTGTCATTTCGCATGCCCACTGTTTCGCTGCCTCGTCTCTTTGGCCTTCCGTAGCACACCCAAGTCCCCCCCTTTTATTATTTAAGGTTCAGCGCAGCAGGTAACCCCCTGGTACAAAACTTTTTCCCTCTGGTATGGTAATTCTCAGGTCCTCCCATCCCCCTTTGGTGTGCTACAGCAGCTATACCTCCCCTCTTCCATTCGCATCCAGTCACTGCATGTGACTCCACTGCACTTCTCCCCCTTGCTTGTGATTCTAACACTCCCCCTCCCCTTGCTCGCCTGCCCTCCCCCCCCCTCCCTGACTCTCAGAACCTGGAAGTTTCGAGGACCATCGTCTTGCCTGGCGGACGTGGGACGAGGAGGCAGCAGGGAAGGCAAAGGCAGCAACGGAGGCAGCAGCGGGTCGCCATGGCCTCTCCAGCAACCATCAAGTGAAAAGGGAGATGAGTATCGTTTCACCACCCACCCTGCCTTCTCCCTTGACCGTTTGCCGCTTGTCCTTTTGCTTGCTGCCTGTTTTGCTCCCTCGTCGTTTCTTGCATAGCTGCCTGTAGCACACCCAAGTCCCCCCCTTTTTTCTAAGGTTCAGACTTTAGGTAACCCCCTAGGTATGTACGAAACTTTCAGACGTGGTATGGTAAGGTAAAGGTACCCCAGTCCCTTTGGATGTGCGTCAGCAGCTGTGCTTCCCCCCCACATTCGCATCCGGAATTGATTGCACGTGATTTGACTGCTGTTGGTTCTAATCCTCCCCCCTTCCCCCCCCTCCCCCCCTCTTCCACCCCTTCCTATCACCCTTTTCTCCCTGACTCTCAGTGTCCTGCTGACGTCAAGCGTGGGGCGCGGAGGGAGCAGCAGAGGGAGCAGCAGAGGGAGCAGCGGGATGAGCAGCTGCAGGGGGTCCTCATGGGCTTCACCATCCAACTGCCGAGAAAAAGATGAGTATCGCTTCACCACTCTTCGCCTTTGACCGTTTTGCCGCTTGTCTTTTTGCGTGCTTCCTGTTTTGCTCTCTCATCATTCTAGCTGCCTGTAGCACACCCGAGTCCCTCCCCCTTTGTTTGGGTAAGGTTCAGACTTCAGGTAACCTTTTTTGGTAGGTACAAAACTTCTACCCCTGGTATGGTAAGGCAAAGGTACCCCACTCCCTTTGGGTGTGCTACGGCAGCCGTGCTTCCCCTCCCTTGTTCCCATCTGGATTACATTGCTCGTGATTCGACTGACTCTCTTTTACTTGCTGTTGATTCTAATCACCCCCTCCCCCCCCTTCCTTTCGCCCTTTTCTCCCTGACTCTCAGTGTCCTGCTGACGTCAAGCGACATGGGGCGCAGAGGGAGCAGCAGAGGGAGCACCGGAGGGAGCAGCAGAGGGAGCAGCAGAGAGAGCACCGGAGGGAGCAGCAGAGGGAACAGCAGAGGAAGCAGCAGCACCAGAAGGAGCAGCAGCTGCAGGGGGTCCTTTTGGGCTCTCTAGCAACCAAGAAAATGATGAGTATCGTTCCACCACCCACCCTGTTTCACCTTTGACCGTTTTGCCGCTTGTCGTTTCGCTTGCTGCCTTTTGTGCTCTCTCATCGTTCTAGCTGCCTGTAGCACACCCGAGTCCCTCCTCCTTTTTTTGGGGTAAGGTTCAGACTTCAGGTAACCCCCTCGGTAGGTACAAAGCTTTAACCCCTGGTATGGTAAGGTAAAGGTACCCCACTCCCCTTGGGTGTGCAACAGAAGCTGTGCTTCCCTGCCGTGTTTGCATCTGAAATCGACTGCAAGGGATTCGACTGACCCGCCTTACTTGCCCTTGGTCTAATCTCCCAACTCCCCCTCCCTTTCGCCCTCCCCTCCCTGACTCTCAGAGCCCTGCTGGCGTCAAGCAACGTGGGGCGCGGAGGGAGCACCGGAGGGAGCAGCAGCATCAGAAGGAGCAGCAGCTGCAGGGGGTCTTCTTGGGCTCTCCAGCAACCAAGAAAAAGATGAGTATTGTTCCACCACCCACCCTGTTTCGCCTTTGATCGTTTTGCCGCTTGCCGTTTCGCTTGCTTCCTGTTTCACTCTCTTGTCATTCTAGCTGCCTGTAGCACATCCAAGTCCCTCCCCCTTTTTTGTCTGAAGGTTCAGACTTCAGGTAACCCCCTTGGTAGGTACAAAAGTTTTAAACCTGGTATGGTAAGGTAAAGGTACCCCATTCCCCTTGGGTGTGCGATAGCAGCTGTGCCTTCCCCTCCCATCTTCGCATCTGGAATCAACTGCTTGTAATTCGACTGATTCCTCTCTCTTGCCCCTGGTCTAATCGCCCAACCCGCCTCCCTTTCGCCCTCCCATCCCTGACTCTCAGTACCTGCTGGTGTCAAGCAATGTGGGGCGCGGATGGAGCAGCAGAGGGAGCAGCGGAGGCAACAACAGAGGAAGCAGCAAAGGGAGCAGCACCAGAGGGTCTTCATGGGCTATCCAGCAGCCGAGACAAAGATGAGTATCACTTCACCAGTAACTCTTCCTTGGCCTGTTTTCCCACGTGTCATGTTGCATGCTCCCCGTTTCACTGCTTCATGCACAGTTGCTCGTCCATCTAGCTGCCTGTGGCGCACCCAAGGCCCCCCCCCCTCTTTGGTATGGTGAGGTGAGGTTCAGGTTCCCCCCAGTCGTCCCCTTGGTATGGTGAGGTGAGGTGAGGTTCAGGTTCCCCCTAGCCCTCCCCTAGTGCGCCACAGCAGCCTTGGACGTGGATAGCTTGCATGCCTGTGTCGCTTGCAGCATGCAGCTGACGTCACTGAATTCGCCTTCATTGTTTCCACTCACTCACTCACTCACTCCCACCCTCATCCCCTTCCCACTCCCACCTCCATTCCCTCTCCCGCCCCAGAGAGAGCATCGCCCAGCGCCCAGCAGCAAGCAGTTCACGGAGAGGACTGGAGCTGCTGCACTGCACCCATCCGCGTGCTTCAACCTGCTTCAACTTCGCCCATCCACGCCTCACTGCACCGCTCCACAGCTAAGTTTCTCTACCTGCTCCCTGCCACCTGCCGTGGTCCTTCATCCCTCGGCTATTTTGCCGCTCGCTTCTTCGCTCTCGTTCATGACTTGTCACTTGCTTGTCAACTGCTGATCTCGTTGCATTCGCCCCTGCTGCACTTGTTGCTCCTTGACTCGCTCTCCAGTTGTCACTCACGAATTGCCTTCTCTGCACCCTCCCCTCCAAACCCCAGCAGGCTCATGGGTGTCTGTTGCTGGTGGTCGGTGAGGGAGGAGTGGTGATGGTGATGGTGGTGTTGATGGCGGTGTTGATGGCGGTGGTGGTTGGTGGTGGTGGAGAGTGGTGGTGGTGGTGGAGGGTGGTGGTTGGTGGGGGCCTTGAGACTGAATTCCAATAGCCGCACGTTTAAGGCATAATGGACGATCACCACACCCTGCGGCCGGGGGTGTGGTGTGGCTCCCCTCTTGCCACGTCGGTAAGGGTTCAGTTCTCATGGTTTCCTCTCAACCCCACTCTGGAGGTGTGGTAGAGAGTGGTGAAAAGTGGTGGGAAGTGGTGGTGCAGCGGAGGGAGGGTGCTGGTGGTGGGGAGTGTTGGTGCTGCTGGTGGAATCCCTTACGCTGGATTCGGTGGCAGGGCTGGCTGATTCTGTGCAGTCTAATGAACAAAATTAGAGATTATGGCAAGTATGGGTAGGAAGCCTAACATGTAGTCACTGTACAATGGCAAGTGTAACAAGTCTAGAGCATAGCATGTGTAGGAACTGAAGACTTGGTATTTCTGTGCAGTTTGATTCAACTGGCTGGAAATAAGGATCATAGCAATTGTAAGTCTAGTTGTTACTGCTCGTTGGAGAACGATGTTCAGGACAGGACTGAACAATAAGAGTCGAATCTGTTGAGGGAGAGTGACCCATGTTTGCTTGAAAATTGAGAATCTATATTTACCGCTACAGTCCGCAATCCAATTCAGATTTTCCAACTTTCTCCTGGTTATGCCGAGCATACCCACAACCCACCGACTAACTTAGGACGCGTAATGTCGTGAATCTTCTACGCGGTTGCTTGCCTGCATTCCCGCTCAACGAAGGTCGTCTGTCGTACTTGTACATTAGTGCAGCTCGCCACCTTCAGCGTGTTAAAGTTACGTTTTCTGCGAGCAGCTTGTGCGCGACTCGGAGAACCGGTGGTTCTGATTCTGTTCGCAACCCTAATTTGAGTCTCTCTAACCTGCCATGCGAGTGCGATTCGTCACACAACCTTAACGTCCTACTTCTAATCACCCGCCGTGCGACATCACCGTCCTGCGACACCAGCCGTACCCGACCGACTGTACGATCGACCTGGTCGTACGGACCACTGCGGTTGTACGAAGCCCATCGTCCGAGGTCGACGGTACTGGGCAGGCGGCAGGCATGTCGATCCGCGGCATGGTGACGGGAGGGGGGGGATGCTCCGTGCCGGGCGAGCGGCCGTCGGCGTCGAGCAGCAACCCGCTCGGCGCGCTTGCGGACTCCATCCTGGGCTCTGCCGCCAAGCAGCAGGTGACCGCACGCTCTGGCGATTGTTCAGTCGGCTTATAACGAGGAAGTTTATATCGCGCAGCAGGTCCGCGATGCTCTAGTGGCGACGAAGCAGCAGGAGAGCGTCGTTCTGGTTTCGCGAGCGGTCTCGCAGCGTGCGATTCAGGGTCTCACGACGGACCCTGGCGCTGGGCTAGTCCGAGCTCCCCCCTTGCTCTATGCTCGCGCGCTGCGCTCCCGCCTTAATCAACGAACTGCCCTCCCGCCATGCTCTGTGTTTCTTCTCTGGGCTCGCCTCGGCAGGAGAGGGTTCGCGAGCTGCCGAGCCTGGCAGGTCCTGGCCAAGCCTCGGGCAGCAACCTCTTCGGACCGGCGGAAGCAGGAGCAGGCCCGGCGATGATGCCGATGCCAGGAGCTGACATGCAGAGCACTATGGGCGGACCCATGGGGGCCATGGGGGGCATGGGGCCGTCAATCCAGGTGAGTTGACTTTTGAGTCGGCTCAGGAGCAGGACCGGCCATGATGCCGCTGCCAGGCGCTGACGTGCCCGGTGCAATGGGCGGACCCATGGGGGGTATGGGGGGCATGGGGCCGTCAATCCTAGTGAGTTAGCCAGAATGGTGGGTCTGAGGTGTGGGGATGGAAGCGTGTGAATTATGTTTTCAGGCGTGTGCACCTGAGAATGCTTGCATGGTTTGAGATCTGTGCAGGAGCATTTGTCTTTTCTGTTTTTGTACACTTTTCGCTTCTTTGAAACTCTTTCTCGATTCCTCTTCCTCCCACCCCTTCCACCCGTACTTCTTCTCTCCCTTCCGCTCTCCCCTGCCTCCATCCCGGCTCCCCCCTGCAGGCGCAGCAGTTCCTATCCTCCTTCCACGCAGCAGGCCCGTCAGCAGCGCCCGGGCCACCCGATGCTCAACTGGAGGCCCTGTGGAACGAGGCTCAGCACGCCCAGGCCTTGCCGCCAGGCATGGCAGCAGGCATGGCGCCGCCGGACGCAGCAGCAGCGGCGCATTTCCGCGAGTTTGAGCAGATCTTTGGCGGCATGTCGCTGGATGGGGGCGCTGCTGCTGCTGCCAGTGGCGATGCTGCCATGCAGCCACCTGCAAGTGAGTCACCTTTGTGGATGCTTATGAGGGGTTGGATGTACTCGGTTCAGTGCATGCCTCCTGCGCTCATACCTCTCCGTTTCCTTGTGGGACTTTGGTTTACCTTTCTTCGCTCTTCTCCTCTCTCCTCTACTCCCCTCCTCTTTCCACCCTCACTACCCTCATTCCCCCCATTACCCGTGTCCCCCATTCCCCCATGTCCCCCCGTTCTCCATCCCCATTCCCCCCTCCCCCTTCCCCCCATCTCCCATCATCCCATCCCCCCCAACCCCCCAGTCTCCGGGCTGCCCCCCCAGCAGCAGCAGGCAGTGCGCGCCCTGCTACACTCCTTCCTCTCCTCCACACAAGCGGGCATCCCGCTCCCCGCGCACCCCCACGCGCCCCTCCCCCCTCTCGCGCACCTCTCCCCCGCGGACCGAGCACGCATCCGCAACCGCTCCTCCATCCTGGCCCGCCACGTGTTTGCCCAGCAGGGGGGGCGGGCGCGCAGGGGGAGGGCTTTGCCTCCGCGCAGGTGGCCGCGCTGCTGCGCTCCCTGGGCATAGAGGACCTGGGGGAGGGTGCGGGGGGCGCGGAGGGCGCGCTCATGGGCGCGCCTGGCCCTCTGGGAGGCAGGTTCCGCGAGTTTGAGGACTTTTGGAAGGATGCGGGGGAGGTGGCGGGTGGGGAGGGGAGGGTGGCGGGTGCGGGTGGAGGGGGGGGCGGAGGGGGGTGGGTGGGGGAGTTTGAGGCGCAGCAGCAGCAGCGGTGGCGGGAGGAGGGGGGGGAGAGCAGCAGCACGGGGTGGGCGGACGAGTTTGCCGAGGTGGGCAGGGATATGAGCCTCAAGAGCAGATTGTGGGTGTGGGCTGTGGGTGGGCGTGCGGGTGTGGGTGTGGGTGTGGGTGTGGGTGTGGGTGTGGGTGTGGGTGTGCGATGGGGTGTGGGTGTGAGGTTGGGTGTGGTGGGTGTGTGGTGGTACTCTCATGTGCACCTCTCTCTCCCCACACACTTGCACACTTGCACCTGCCGTCCTCCTTCTTGCCATCCTATTTTCTTGGCTCTCCCGTCCCCATCCCATCTCCCATCCCCATTCCCGTACCCCCATTCCCGTATCCCCAACCTCGTATCCCTATCCTCTTACCCTGATTTTTCAACCTTCGACTCCCTACGCGCATTTCTTACGCCCATCCCCCAACACACACCTCCCTACGTCCTGACTCCCTCTGCCCCTCTCTATCCCCCTCTATGCCTCTCTGTTCCCCTCCATCCCTCTCCATCCCTCTCAATCCCTCTCTATCCTTCGGTCTCTTCCAGGACTGGCAGCAGCAGCAGCGCGTGAGGGACGAGGCGAGGGCGGAGGGGCCTCGCAGTGAAGCAGAGAGGGTGGCAGCGAGGCAGCAGACACAGCGCATTGTGGACACACTCGCCCAGGACCCCAACCCCAAGTTCCAGGTATGTGTGGTACCGCTGGCAGGGCTGTTCCAGGCAGCGAGGCAGCAGACGCAGCGAGTTGTGTCCACACTCGCCCAGGACCCCAACCCCAAGTCCCAGGTACGCTGGGGGACAGCTTTACTTCTGAGTCAACTCAAGAATAGGCAGCAGACGCAGCGAGTTGTGTCCACACTCGCCCAGGACCCCAACCCCAAGTCCCAGGTACGCTGGGGGACAGCTTTACTTCTGAGTCAACTCAACAAGGCAGCAGACGCAGCGAGTTGTGTCCACACTCGCCCAGGACCCCAACCCCAAGTCCCAGGTACGCTGGGGGACAGCTTTACTTCTGAGTCAACTCAAGAATAGGCAGCAGACGCAGCGAGTTGTGTCCACACTCGCCCAGGACCCCAACCCCAAGTCCCAGGTACGCTGGGGGACAGCTTTACTTCTGAGTCAACTCAAGAATAGGCAGCAGACGCAGCGAGTTGTGTCCACACTCGCCCAGGACCCCAACCCCAAGTCCCAGGTACGCTGGGGGACAGCTTTACTTCTGAGTCAACTCAAGAATAGGCAGCAGACGCAGCGAGTTGTGTCCACACTCGCCCAGGACCCCAACCCCAAGTCCCAGGTACGCTGGGGGACAGCTTTACTTCTGAGTCAACTCAAGAATAGGCAGCAGACGCAGCGAGTTGTGTCCACACTCGCCCAGGACCCCAACCCCAAGTCCCAGGTAAGGCTTTCTCTCCCCTGCAGTCTTCCCTGCCTTCCCACCATCTCCATCTCTGCATGCACTCCCAGCTCCCCGCTCACCTGCCCCGCGCCTCCCCTCCCCCCGCCCCAGCAATCCAAGTTCCTGCATTTTGTGTCCTGTCCAAGATGAGTCGCTTCTAGCTGATAGTTAGATAGCATAGGGAGTTGAGTCTCCCTTCTTCCCCACTGTTAGCTGATGGCTGATGGCTGTTTGCTGTTGGCTGATGGCTGATAGCATAAGGTTGTTGGGTCTCCGTTCTTCTCGTCACCTCTGTCCCTTTGCGCCCCCACCCACAGCAATTCAACCTCCTGCAGTTTGTGTCGAGATGAGTCGAGCTGATAGCTGATAGCATAGGGAGTTTGGTCGCCAGTCTTTCTCCTTCCCCCCTCTCTCCACCCCCTTCCCCCCCCCAGCAATCCAAGTTCCTGCAGTTTGTGTCGAAGATGAGTCGCGGCGAGCTTATAGCTGAGGAGGGCGGAGTGAGGGAGGTCTCGCCAGCAGAAGCAGCGGCGGCGGCAGCGGCAGAGCAGTGGGCGAGCGAGTTTGAGAACCTTCACCAGCACGAGCACGTGCACTCCCATGCCATCAAGGCGGACGCTGACTGGGCCACTGAGTTCGCTGCTAGGGTAAGCAGTGGATGGGGAGGGGCGTGTTGTTGTAAGATGTGAGGGGTGCTGGGTGGAGTGCGCAAGTTGTGGGCGAGCGAGTTTGAGAACCTTCACCAACACGAGCACGTGCACTCCCATGCCATCAACGCTGATGCTGACTGGGCCACTGAGTTCGCTGCCCGGGTGAGCTGCTAGTGGAAGAGGGCGTGGTGTGGCAGTGCGAAGCATGGGGGTGCTGGGTAGAGTGCACGAGCAGTGGGCGAGCGAGATTGAGAGGCTTCTCCTTCATCACCAGCACGAGCACATGCACTCCCATGCCATCAAGGCAGACGCTGATTGGGCCGCTGAGTTTTCTGCCCGGGTAAGGTGCTTGACAGGGTTGGATGTGGGTTGTGAGGATTCCGTAGGGCGAATAACATATCCTGGGCCATGGAGGTTTCCCTCTCTATCATCCCACCTCACTTCCCCTGCCCATCTGCGCCCATCCCCTGGCAGAACAAGTCATCCACGTCGCTGGATTCAAGGGACTGGGTGGACGAGTTTCGAGTCGACTCAAATTATCACCCCGCATCTCTTCCCCTGTCCCCATGTGCCATGGCAGAACGAGTCATCGACATCACTGGACTCGAGGGACTGGGCGGACGAGTTTGCGCAGCAGATGGCACACACACACCCACATGGGCACACACACACGGAGGGCGAGGGCGTGGTGGAGGATGGCGACCCCAGCGCATGGCTCGAGTCGTACGAGCGGTATACATGCTCTCATCCCCATATCGCCTCATCCCCATGCGCCTCATTACCATAGCGCCTCATCACCATAGTGCCTCATTAACATATCGCCTCGTTACCATATCGCCTCGTTACCATATCGCGCCGTTACCGTATCGCGTCGCTAACATATCGCATCATTACCATATCGCATCGTTACCATATCGGTATGTGGAGGAGCAGCTACGTGACGAGCAGCAGAGGAGGGCGGAGACATCACTATCACGTTGGCCCTACGCCTTTGCCAACAAGAACCGCCCTTCCAGCACGGGCAGGACCTCTCCCACCCACACCCCCCCCAACCCCCACATTTCCCCTTCCCTCTCCCCCCAGGTACGTGGAGGAGCAGTTGAGGGACGAGCAGCAGAGGAGGGCGGAGTCGTCATCATCGCGCTGGCCCTACGCTTTTGCCGATAAGAACCCCTATGTGGGCCATGCGCAGCCCTTCCAGCAGGGGCAGGACCTCTTCAGGCGGTGAGTGGGGAGTTGTCAATCTGACATGTCTCAAAACTCAAAACTCAACTGTGACATGTCTCAAAACTCAACTGTGACATGTCTCAAAACTCAACTGTGACATGTCTCAAACCTCAACTGTGACATGTCTCAAAACTCAACTGTGACATGTCCTAAAACTCAACTGTGACATGTCTTGTGTGGGGTGAGAGCTATTGGTGATGCTATCCGGGTCAACAATTTGTCCATGCACAATGTGTCACTCAATGCCTGCTCTCTCTACCCTGCATCCCGGTGTGCCGCGGCGTGCATACTGTCTGCATGCATGTGTGTGTGTGTGTGTGTGTGTGCATGTGTGTGTGTGCATGTGTGTGTGTGTGTGCATGCATATAGTGCGTGTGTGTGCATGCATATTGTGCTTGTGTGTGCATGCATGTGCGTGCATGTGCATGTGACCAATGCCACGTTCCACCCCCCAACAGAGGGCTACTGAGCGAGGCGATACTGGCGCTGGAGGCGGAGGTGCTGCGCAATGAGAACAACGCCGAGGCCTGGCGCCTGCTGGGCGTCTCCCATGCCGAGAATGATGACGACAGACAGGTGGGCCGATCCGACAGACAGGTGGGCCGATCCGACAGACAGGTGGGCCGATCCGACAGACAGGTGGGCCGATCCGACAGACAGGTGGGCCGATCCGACAGACAGGTGGGCCGATCCGACAGACAGGTGGGCCGATCCGACAGACAGGTGGGCCAATCCGACTGACAGGTGGGCCGATCCGACAGACAGGTGGGCCGATCCGACAGACAGGTGGGCCGATCCGACAGACAGGTGGGCCGATCCGACAGACAGGTGGGCCGATCCGACAGACAGGTGGGCCGATCCGACAGACAGGTGGGCCGATCCGACAGACAGGTGGGCCGATCCGATAGACAGGTGGGCCGATCCGACAGACAGGTGGGCCGATCCGACAGACTGGTGGGCCGATCCGACAGACAGGTGGGCCGATCCGACAGACAGGTGGGCCGATCCGACAGACAGGTGGGCCGATCCGACAGACAGGTGGGCCGATCCGACAGACAGGTGGGCCGATCCGACAGACAGGTGGGCCGATCCGACAGACAGTTGGGCCGATCCGACAGACAGGTGGGCCGATCCGACAGACAGGTGGGCCGATCCGACAGACAGGTGGGCCGATCCGACAGACAGGTGGGCCGATCCGACAGACAGGTGGGCCGATCCGACAGACAGGTGGGCCGATCCGACAGACAGGTGGGCCGATCATGCTCAGGCAGGTGAACTCCTCGTGCTCACTCACTCATTACGGGAGTGGTCAATGAGAGGTGTGGGAGATTGGGTTCTTCTCCTTTATAGTGGAGCCTGCGTTAGTGGAGCCTCCTTTGGTCCTAGCTGCTGTGCACCCGTGTCCGCTATGCTGTCCCCATGCCATTTTGCATGCCATGCTATCCCCCTGTCAACCTCATGCCATGCTATCCCCATGCCATCCCCATGCCAACCCCATGCCATCCACATGCAATCCCCATGCCGTCTCACAGGCCATAGCAGCCATGACGCGCGCTCGGGATGCGGACCCCACCAACCTGGACGTGCTGCTCGCCCTGGGCGTCAGCCACACCAACGGTTAGTGCCCTATCTTGCAAATCGCGCACCTTTTTCTTTTAGCTCATGGCCCAGATGGGACCATGCGATGCATCAAGCACCAGTAACCAGTTCGCACCAACCTGGACATGCTGCTTGCGCTGGGCGTCAGCCACACCAGCAGTCAGTGCCCCTCCCTCGTGTCCGCCACACACTCACCTCCTTCCATACACTCACGGGTGAGATGCACTCGTGAACCTCTTCATACCTGCATCTCACCCCTCTGCTGCACCACTCACTCCGTACTGCCACACCTCCCCTATTTCCCAGAGCTGGAGCAAGCAGAGGCGCTGTACCATCTGCGCAGCTGGCTGCAGAACCACTCCAAGTACAAGTCCCTCGTGCCGCCCTCCGGCCCTGCCTCCATGTCCCACTCCGATGTGCGTGCACTCCTCTCACCCCTCTCAGCACTCCAATTTAAAGCCCAATTCGCCTCTACGCACCTCCCCGTCCTCCACCTTTCTCTCTTCCCTCCTCCTCTCTTTAACGCACCCTCCTCTCCACCTCCCGTGCTCGCACCACTCTTGAACTCTCTTGCTCGCTCCATTTGTTCCCCCAGTTCCACATGCTCAGTGTGCTGCACTGCACTTCATTCTCACTTCTCCAGCTCACACACGAGCCAGCCCCCCCACATCCTGATAAATGCCAACGTAAAAAACATATTGCTCACGTCTCCCGTTGCACGTCTTACCCTGTCTGTCTGCATGTGTGTGTGTGGGGGTGGCTTGGTGGGTGGGTGAATGGGTGTTTGGGTGTGGGTGTGGATGTGTGTGTGAGCGTGGCAGGGTGGGTGTGTGTGTGTGTGTGTGTGTGTGTGTGTGTGTGGGTACGTGGGTATGTGGGTGTGGGTGTGCATCTCCTTTTGCACGTCTGTTTCTTCCCACTGTCTGTCTGCATGTGTCCGTGCGCGCGTGTGTGTGTGAAGGCGGGGGGGTGGGGGGCAGGGGAGGGGGGGGTGGCGGGGTTGGGGTGGGTGTGGATGTGTGTGTGTGGCGGGTGGGTGTGTGTGGGTATGTGGGGGGAGGGGAGGGGTGTGTGAGTGTGGGTCTGAGTGGCAGGTGGTGCAGCTGTACACGGAGGCAACTCGCATGGCGCCAGAGGATGCCGACCTGCAGGTCAGGACAGCCGTGCCATGCCATACCATGCCATGCCATGCCATGCCATGCCATTTTCAGTCAAGCTCTGACGTACCATGTCTTGGTGATTGCGTTTCCTTGTCATGCCCGCCAAGGCAGCCTTTCATGTTCTCTTGCCGTGTTTTCAATATACGCAAGGTAACAAAACCACCTTCCCATTTCTCTCCTTCTCACACATCACATCTCATTTCCCGATGCCAGGTGGTGCTGGGAGTGCTGTTCAACCTCTCCCACGAGTACGACCGTGCCAAGGCAGCCTTCCGTAGGGCCCTTGCGCTGCGCCCCTCCGACTACTCGCTCTGGAACAAGCTGGGCGCCACACAGGCCAACAGCGCCCAGTCCGCTGAAGCCATTGAGGCGTATCAGAAGGTATGTATGTATGCAAAGTGCGGTCCTGTTCGAGCTCTCACATTTCGATCCACGCATGTTGCGAATTTGTGCAGTTATTTTGTCCGTGATTATTGCTTTACTTTTTGTTTCTGGGTTTGTTGCTTTACAGGCTTTGGATCTGAAGCCGAATTATGTTCGTGCATGGACAAACATGGGCATTGGATATGCCAACCAAGGGAAGTACGAGGAGTCGGCTCGCTATTATGTGCGTGCAATTGCGATGAATCCAACGGCAGAGAATGCGTGGCAGTACTTGAGAATCGCGTTAAGCTGCGCTGGAAAGGCGGAGCTACTCCCAGCTTGTGATGCCCATGATGTGGATGCTCTTCAGAGGGAGTACCCGTTGTGATTGAAGGGTACTGCCGGATCTTCAATATTTGCGAAGTTGTTCAGATGTATGCATACACGCTTGTTTAGGGAACACTAGCTTTCTCAACTAGTACGCGGTTTTGGAGCAGATGAGATGGTGCTGAATTAAATTCTGACCATAAAATGCACTGACCAAAGAGTGGGTGACAAGTCAGAGCTCACCGACATCGGTCAGCTGTCTCAACCAGTCTCCTGCCTACCTTCAGCCACGTGAAGCCTATTCGCCTGACACTCGCACGAACCTCCAATCTGTTCAAATTACATGAACGACAAATCGTTGACGACCTCAACGGTGCGCTTTGCTCCAATTCGTGACAGATATTCGCTTGTCAGAGAAGGCACCTTGGGATTGGAAATGGAGATGACGTTCACTTTTTCCGTCAAGTTGAGGCGGGAGGGTGGACCCGCCACAAAAGTCGGCATTCCCGGCTGAGGAACTCGACGACTCGTTAATTGGTATGACGCGTAACTGAGCTCCAGGCGTCCAGCCACTCCCTCTCCGCCTTTTAGGATCTGAACAGCTCCAACAGTGCGGGGAGAGATGGAACCTCGATGCCTCCCAGGCAGGAACCATCAACCACATGCAACCATCAAGCCTGAAAATGAGGCACGCGCATCTCGAAGCTGAGCTCAGTGGTTCGTCAAGCTCAGGCGAAAGGCTTGGAGATGGTTGGGTCTGACAAGTTCCAGAAGTGCTCTTCAACAATTTGTCCAACCGTCTGGCGGACTTTTAGACAACGGAACATGATTGGCTTCTGAAGCATGAACCCAAACCAAATTATGCGACTTGCTGGTTACAGATAGGTCTGGAGGCACAAATGTTGGGGATTTGGTGCGAAGGGCTATGCATGGCCCATGATTATCGTGTGTTACATAGGGCCCTGGATGTCCAGGAGAAGAAGCTGCTTGGTTCGGAACCAAACCAGCGAAACACATTCTGGGCCTTATGTACGCACATTAGCACGACTCCAGCACAGCAACCAGTCAGATAAAATGGGAGCACAGGATAGTATCTGCTAACTTTGGGGGAGGCCAGTGAATTTGTGGAAGGTTTCAGCTGGCGATATTTCACGTGCTTGCTTGCTGAAATCCATGTGAGATTCAGGACCCTATTTCAGGAGAAGAAAGTGAGAATCCCTGCCTTTAAACCGTAAGGTTAGGCGCCAGAAATATTGTTTCCTGAGCGGTGTCTTGTTGAGACTAGAGCTGGAGCTCAATGAGTCTGCTCATTCAGCCACCGTCACCTGTAACTGGAATTGCAATGGCGCCTGTTCAACAGATGGACCAGAAGTTTGAGCACCAAGCTGTGAAGATTCCGTGTAGTCAATCCCCCCCTCAGTCTCGAACTTTGCCTGTGTTAATCTCCAGTGAAGTCCCTGCAGTTTCTGGAGAGAACATTCACAGCTCTGCACTTGTCTGCAACGCTGAAAGCAATCCGAGGGAGCTGAAGCCAGTTATCGATGGCCAAATGCAAAACTCCCCGCAACTGATCGCATGTCAGCCGCAATTTGCTCTAACCTCTGACCATCACCAGTCACTGGCAACTGCGAAGCTCAACGATTCTCCATTGTCTGCAGACTACTCTCCTTCTTCAACACCCAGGACGCCAGGCTCCTCCAGCTCGTTTCGGTGCTCGCCTGTACGGAAGCTTCCCGCTCTCTCACCTATCGCCGAAGTCCGCTCTCCACACATAATTGGAGCTCCGGTGTCTCCTCCACCTCTCACAACCCCTGTCTTCTCATCAATCCCGCCGCTGACAAACATTAGCCCTGATGGTCAAGCTGGCTCGCCAGACTCAGCCGTGTCTGCAGGTAGATTTCTCATCATCCTCTTTTTTAGGTTGTGATCTAAAGGCTCGGTCATGGCTACGTGCTCTTTCCGTCTTCCAAGGTCTGACCTTCTGTTGTCTGATGAAACATGCAGATCCTAACGCAGGCCCTTTCACAATAAGCCAGTGGCAACAACTAGAGAAGCAAGCTCTGATTTTTAAATATATCGTTTCTGGTGTTTCTCCTCCACAAGATCTTGTTGCGTCACTTTACGCATCCCCTGATACCTCCAAAGGTCCTCGGGAAAGTGAGCGAGGTAATTACTAAATCTTAGTAAATTGACTTCAGAATTACGCGTCTACAGAAACCTCATGCGCATGACGTGTCTTTTTAACAGGCGAGTGGATGCACCCGATGAGGCTTGACTTGGAGCCTGACAGGTGTCGTCGTACTGATGGGAAGAAGTGGCGGTGTTCTCGAGAGGTACACCATGAATTCCTTACTTCACCTCCATAAATGCGCCGTCACTATTGACATGCACGCCTGATTTATTTAATCTGCTTGATCATCTCTGCAGGCCGTGAAAGATCAGAAGTATTGTGACCGTCACATGCATAGAGGGAGAAATAGGTCGCGGAAGACGAATGAAAACTGCACTGCAGGCTCTAATGCATCCATCGCTGCTGCGTCGTCCGATGGACCTGCGTCAGAAGTAGCAGGCGGAATCAACGCTGCGACAAGCAGCATCGCTGAGAGTGCTATCACGCAGACAAGGCATAATGAGCATGCAGTCGTTTCTGCCTCGGAGCGCAAGAATGACTCAAGATGCGAATCAAGTGCTCAAATGGGAGAACGATCAGCTCTACCGCCTCTCACGTTACCTCCCCCGGTTCATCCAATGGGCGCAGCACAAGTGGAGCCATCTTCAGGACTCAACTCGTAAGACATTCACTTACCCTTCGTATGCTTCATGACGACCTCCTCGTCCAGTGTCTTACATATTCATCGCTCCGTGTTGCGCAGGCGAGCCACTGCAACATCAACATGGCAGACGAATCCGACAACTTTCCAGTCACAAGCGCAGCAAGAGCAGCACAGCATGCAACATCCACCTCAAGACCAGCAGGCTGTGCCTCATTCTGGAGGCATGAATCAAAGCATAAACTGCAGCACTTCCAGTCGTGTTCAGCAATATCAGCTGAGTGGCAACCTTGGTCCTCGGTTCACCTCCTCCTTCCAGCCTGTGCAGCCGCTGCAAGTTGAGAATACCACGGCCGGAACCCCTTCAACATCCAAATCTCTTGGTGTCAGCTCGAGCATCGTGGGTTTGAACAGCGGTCCTACGCAGTCTGGTAACCATGGGACAGCAGGCGGACAACTCCAGCCTGGACATTACCAGATCCAGCATACCCCAAGAGCTGCTATATGGGAGAGGGATGGAGATGATGATACCCCTGGAAGCAGTTCAAGAGTCCCACTTCTTCGTCTGCCAAACATGTTGCAGGTAAATTGCAACCCAATCTCAAGACTCCCACAAATTTCGTGGCACGTGTTGCAACATCTCAACTAATGAATTCTTGGGTTTCGTTTCATGTGTATCATCCCATCAGAGGTCAGCGTCATTACAGATAGCTTCATCTTATTCTGACAAGTCACACATTGGCCATCACCTGAGCTACGCTCCAGCTCCTGTGGTTACAAACTCTTCAAGTCATCCTGCTTCAACTCCTGTGCCGGGTATCTCTACCAGTCGTCCAGCCTTTCTCACAAGATGCAGCTCTGTCCCTGAGCCTCGATATTCCCGTGCTGGAGGAATGATGCGAAGCCATTCAATATCTGAGGCTCCTGGTAAGGTGGCCCATGCCATCAACCCTTCATACCAGAGCCCTGTCGACCTTTCGCGACAGGTTCATGAAACTTACCAGCAGCATCCACAGGTCCATGCTGCTGTTGCACCCCAGTTTCAGCCACATCAACCACAGCAGCTTCAGCAGCAGTTCCAGCAGCATCAAGGACAGCTGCATCAACATCAACAGCAAAATCAACAGCAACAGCAGCAGCAGTCACAACAACAACCCCAGCAGCAGAACCAGCTGCAGCAGCAACAGCAGCAGAATCAGTATCAGCAGGAGTTTCAACAGATTCAGTACCAACAGCAAGGTCAAAACAACCAATACCAACAACAGCCTCAATCGCTTCAACACAAAACTCAGCAGCAACAGCAGCAGCAGCAGCAGCAGCAGATCTCTAGCCAACACTATCAGCAATACCAGCAAAACCCACAACAGGAGCAACAGTCATCACAGCCACCACGACTTCAGCAAACACTGCAGCCCCAGCAGCCAATGCCACCACAGCATCAACAGCAGCAAAATACTCGACCTCAAGTGCAGCAGCAGTACCAGCAGCTTCAGAATCAACTGCAAGAGATACCAGAGTATCAGCTTTCCCAGCAAGACAACATTTTCCAGGACCAACAACAGGACCATTTGCAGATGGAGTCGGTTGACATCTTCTTGAATGTTGACAGGTGACCGATTTGCTGTATGTTGCACATTCGAGGAGGGTCGCTTTTGCTAGCAGATGGACGCAGTAACTTTCACATTTGTTTGTATATTAAAGAGAGTGAGAGTGCGTGAGGCTTAGTCACCATTCATCATTGTTAACTCCGTATATTGAATGCCGTCAGACAACATGGTATTTAACAGTAGTTGGTTAGGTCTTGCTACTATCGAGTAGCTATACTAAGAGGGGTTATGCTTGTATATCACGTGTTAATAGTTATTCGCTTGTATATCACGTGTATTTGTATCCGCACTCACACTGTCTTGGATCAAAACGAATGCGTCTGGAATTGGGGGTTCCTGCTTTCCAAAACATCGAGCTTGGCCACGTCAGCGTCACCGCTCATCTGGGCCACACCTGCTCGTCACCTGGAACTCGTTCTCGTTCACCCTCCCCTGCGGGTTCCCTCCTCCCCAGCCATATATGTTTCTCGCTTCTCCATAATCCCTAATCGGTAGCTGCGCAACGTTTGTTTTCTGTCAGTCTGTCGAGCCATAACGCCATCTATATTATTCAGAATGGCGTGCATTCAGGCTGTCGCGTCTCTGCCATCAAGAGTCTCATTGACTCTTCCCGCTGCTTCCAGTGGCCAGCGTAGCGTCGTCGTCCGGCCAATCAGAAGCCAACGCCTGATTGCTGTCTGCGCGGTAGGTCCTTAATCGCCGAGTGGGTCGCGTGATTAGAGCGCAAAGTGATCCAGGATTCGTGATTTACATGTAAGAGATCAATTCGGAGCGAATGTGACCTCCGTCACTGCACTAGTCCTCACGGATCGTTGTTGCTAACCTCCATTGCCGCATGCCGCTCGTTCAGCTCATCTCAGGCTTCAGTCGATCGGCATTCCAGCCTTGTAGGCACGAGCAGGAGTTGGTCAAGCCACGTTGAACACAGCGCACAGTTGCTGCCAGTTCGCCATTCCTTTGCGGCTGTCTTATCCATTACTGCCACTGTCTTCCCCTTCGCTGCAGCGGCTTTATCTTTAAGTGCTACCGTTTCATCCTCCGCTGCTATCATCTTGTCGCCCTCCTTCTACCCTAGTTTTGATCTTACTTCCGTGGTGCTTCTTCTAATGAACGCTGACCTCCAGCTCAACATTCTTGTTCCTGACGACATTGTCACCAATCGGGCGAATGCCATTTGTCTGGGTCCGAGAAAGCAGGCCACGCCACCCCAGCGTCAGATCAGGCGACCACCCTTGCGACCATGCACTGGTTGCCTTCTTTTCCCTCCTGCACCTCCGCCTCCCCCCACTGCTCTTGCTCATCTCCCTTCCCCTCTTTCCTCTCACCGTCCTCCCCCGCAGGCTCGTTCCCCCAAGTCCACCGATGCCGCTCCCGCGCGTCGCCCCGCGTCCGCGCCGTTCCGCCTGCTCTCCGCGCCGGTGGCGGCGCTCCCGCTGGTGCTGGCGTTCGTGGAGGCGGAGCTGCCCAACGCGATAGACACCTTCACGGCGCTCTCCGACTTCCACATCACCGAGCCCGCCTTCAAGGCCTTCTGTAAGCCTCTTCAAACCCGTCAAGGCTTTCTGTACGCTCACTCGAGCGTACTCATTCAACTCAGCGTCCAGCCTCGCCGCTCGCACCTACACTCCAGCTCCCATTGAACGACCCGGAAAACGTTCGTTTCCACCCGGAATTCGCTGCTCAATACTTTCCCGCGTTTTAGCATCCCATCTCCTCTCGAAGCAGCGTCGAACATTTATCTCCCCACTCTTGTGCCATCCCCCCCCCTTGTGCTATCCCCCCCCCGTGTGCCACCCCTCCCCGGTGCACAGACATGATCTTCACGTGCGTCTTCTGCTGGGGCGCGCTCGTCTTCGGCTCCATGAACGTAAGTTCGCACTCCCCCAACCTTGCGCTCCCCCAACCTTGCGCTCCCCCAACCTTGCGCTCCCCCAACCTTGCGCTCCCCCAACCTTGCGCTCCCCCCATATTTGCACTTCCCTCCCATTGTCTCAATGCGATTTCTCTCCTTCCCCCCCTCCCCCCCCATTCCCTCCATCCCTTTCCCCGGCTCCATCTTCTCCCATTTCTTCTTCCTACACTTCTACTTCTAGTCCCCGTCCCCTTTCACCTCCCCTTTCCTCTCACCGCATGGTACCGCGTTACACCCCCCGTCTCTCAAATCCTCCCTTCCCCACACGGCGCATCTCCTGCCCCCCACGCACGCACAGCAGGGCGAGAGATACAGCAATGCTAGTGGCAGCAGCGGCAGCAGCAGCAGTAACAGCAGCAGCAGAATCAGCTGAAACAGGAACAGCGTGAACACCAGCGTTTTCCCCTTCTCAACTGTCTCCCATCCCGTCTGATGGTGTGTGTGCGTGCCCCCCCTCTGCCACGCGTGCCCCTTAGGACGAGTACTACGAGAGCGACGAGTACCGCAAGGCGGGCGGCAACGGCACCCAGTTCTGGATCTACCAACGGGTCAGTCGCACGCCCATGCCATAGCTGCTCTCTCACACCAGGGGGCGTTGCACAGGGATGGGGGATGGGGGATGTTGGTGGGGGATGTTTCCACACCAGGTATACAGGTACACCTGGCATGTAGGCACACAGGGGGGGGGGTGTGTGAAACTAGTTCTTGCCATGCGGCAGTGGCATGATTTATCTGCGCCTTTGATGATCTCCACATGCCGTTCTCCCTCCTCCGCACACCCTTCTTCACAACTATGGCCCCTTCCCCCTCTGCTCTGCCCTGGCCCTCTGCCCCAATCCTTCTTGTGGCTGCAAGGCCGTGCCATCAAACCCCCCTTCCCCCTCTGCTGCTGCCCTCTCCTCTGCTGCTGTTCCCCCCCCTGCCTCCCCCGCTCTCCTCCCTGCCCTCCCCTCGAATGATCCCTGCCCTCCCCTCGAATGATCCCTGCCCTCCCCTCGAATGATTCCTGCCCTCCCCTTGAATGATCCCTGCCCATTGGCAGGCGGAGGAGGAGGAGGAGGGGGGCAGGGAGGAGCTGTGGAGGGAGGAGTTGAGGAGGGAGATAGAGGAGAAGGTGACGGAGGTGAAGGGGCTTAAGGCGGCTGTGAGGGAGGAGGAACTCGTCTGACCGCTCTCGCCTCAACGACGCCATTGTGTGGGCTAGATGTGGCCTTATGCACTGCTACCTTGTCTTGGCTGCGTGCGATGGTATTTTCCATGTCATGTGCAATTAAAATGTGAGGCAAGTTTGATGACTGGTGGCGGCATGGCTCTCTGATTTCAGGCAGAGGTTGCAAAAGTTGCAGTAAGGCTGGATTCCAGTTAGTGGAGAAGGAAATAAAAGAAAACAAGAGGCCAATGACTACAGCCATTTTATTAAGAATCTACCCGACCAGGAACCAGAAACACCTGCAAAACGATTAAATCGAAGTCATCTACACTGCAATAGGCTCCTGCACTCCACCCATGGCAGCATCTGCTCGCACAGCACCCACCCCATCCTTCTCCCCACCTCCACCTTCTCCCGCACTGCCAGCAGCAGCACCACCACCACCCGCAGCAGCAGTGGCAATGACATCAGCAGCTGCAGCCTCAGCAGCAGCTATGGTCCCACCCACTGCAGCCCCCAGCTTATGCACCGTGGCTGGCGCTGCTGAACTAGGGGCAGCAGCACCAGCAGCAGCTTGGTCAGCAGCAGCAATGGTACCATTGGCAGCAGGAGGGGTGGTTGCAGGCAGGGCAGTGGGAGCGGGTGCAGCAGGGGGTGGAGCAGGCGGGGCGGAGAGCTTGGTGATGAGGGCGATGATGAGCTGATCCCTGCGCGCTGCCCTCTCGTCCTCCCTCGCTGCCCTCTCCGCCTCCATCTGCCGTTCACACACACACGTGCACACAGGCACACACATACACACAGATGCATGGGCGCAAAGGATGGAAGGCTTTGTTTGGGATAAGGCCAGCAGGAGCGTGGGAGGCTGCTAAGGTGATTGGTTACCCAACCCACCTGCAACCCCCAAAACTACCTGTCACCCCACAAACCCACCTGCCCCTCCCCCCCACACCCACCTGCTCCTTCCCCCCAACCCACCTGGCGCCACATGGACTCGCGCTGACCGGTCCCTCTCCAGCGCCTCCAGCCTGCTGCGCCACTCGCCCTCCCTCACCCTCCGCTCCGCCTCGCGCCGCTCTATCGCCTCGCGCCACTCCTGCTCCAGGCGCAGCTGCTGCACAAAGAACTGCTCCAGCAGCCACACACCCACCTGCCCCTACACACGCACCTGTCGCCACATGGACTCGCGCTGAGCCCTGTCCCTCTCTAAAGCCTCCAGCCTGCTGCGCCACTCGCCCTCCCGCACGCGCCGCTCCGCCTCGCGGCGCTCTATCGCCTCTCGCCACTCCTGTTCCAGGCGCAGCTGCTGCACAAAGAACTGCTCCAGCACCTCCTGCATGCTCCCCGCGCGCTGCCTCTCCAGCACCGCGCGCCTGTCCCCCCCTCCGTTGCCCCCGCCGCCCATGCTGTCAAACGCGTCTCCGCCTGCGCCCCCCCCAGAAGCAGCGGACGCGCCCTTCCCCGTGGCGGCCTTGCGCGCGCCAGCGTTGAAGTCGCGCTTGCGCCTCTTGTTGCGCAGCACGTTCAACTCGCCCTCTAAGTCATCGTCCCCCTCCTCCTCATCCTCCTCCTCCTCCTCTTCCTCGTCTCGCGCCCGCCGGGTGAGCAAGCTCCCTCCCACGCCCCCCGCGCCCCCCCGCGCGCCCAACCCGCCGCCGAAGCTTCCGCGCATGCCCAGGGTTCCTCCGACCGCTCCGGCCCGGCCCTCTCCTGCGGAGAATCCGCTGCCGATGCCGCCGCTGGCGCCGATTCCGCCGGGCGTGCCGCCGCCCTCCGCCTGCACGAGCAGGCGGTCCATGTTGCGCGCGCGCTGCTTGAAGATGGCGTCCACCTCCTCGAAAAACGGGCACGAGCGCGACCCGTCCGCCGAGAGCTCCTTATTCTGGCGGGGCGCGCGAGGGGCGCGCACGGGCGGAACGAGGAGGGGGTCGCGGGAGGGAAACAATGCGGAAAACTAGTTTTGATACGGATAGATAGAGAAATAAGAGACGCCATAAAAAATCGGGGGACTAATCCGAGGGCTGACGGCGACGCCAACCACAGCACATGAGGTGCTCGCGAAAGTGTAAAAAAAATAAAAATCAAGAACTCAGAAATGCGGCAGGATTGCGCGCCGTGTTGCGTGGTGAGTACCTTGTAGCGATTAACGAGCACTTTCCACTTGCACTTGCACTGGTTGGGCGTGCGGCGGTACCCCTTCTCCTTCATGCGCGCCGAGATGGTCTCCCACACGTGGTTGCTCGTGCGCCCGGGGACGAAGTCGCGCTCCATCTCGGCGCGCAGCGCGATGAGCTCCTTGGTCTCGTGGAAGCCCCAGTGCGACTGGCGGTCCGCCGCCGACGCCATCAGCGCGTCGTCGTACGCGCCCGCCACGCCCAGCGGCCCGTCTTCCGCTATTCCGGGGAGCATCGGCAGATGATGCGACATGCGCGAACTAGAAATGGAGCACGGAACTCAGGAAGGAGTAATGAATTAAGGCGGAGAAATTTCGCTAGGCGTGGAGAGGTGGCAGTTCTTTGAAGCGCGTGAGTGGGATGGACAAGCACGGTCGTACAGTCTAGGGAACACGAAAACGAATCGCGATGATACTCCTGCTGTCGGAAATTCAAACAAAGCGATTTTCACATTGGCGCCTCCCAGGGCGTCTCGGGCATGTGGCGTGGGGAGCGAAGTTGAGAACGGTGTCTTGGAAGAGAGGAGGTAATTACACGGGAGCCATGGAGCTAGGGTCAGAGGCAGGGCGGAAACAGGGAGTGATGGCAGGGTGGTGTTTGAAGCGAGGGTTTGGCGATTTGAACAGCCGAGTGCGTGCGAACGGGGGTCGTGGCGCCACGGGAGCACTGCGCGGAGACGGGGGAACCGTAGTTCAGCGAAAGGGACGGGTGAGGGGGGGAAGTGGTTTGTGTTTGCCCGAGGACGAAGTGCTCGGAACGAGGGTTTGGCGGACAGGGTGCAGAATGGGGACTGGATGGCAGTTTCGAGCTTGTAACGAGGGCTTGCGAACGCTGGAGGCAGTGCTCTGCGAATTGTTTGGGGTGTAGTGCAGATCCGTTGCGAAAATACAGATTCAGTTGAAGGTGAAACACACGCATTACCGATTCATAACGAAACGATTATGCTATTTATATCAGGTACTTCGTGCTCTGGACATCAGCCACTTGTGCTTTGCACTAACGAAATACATGTAACATATGCTCAGTTTCTTGTCCTGCCTAATCTCCACAGCTTCGCCAATATTCGTTATGAGTTTCGTCAAGCCTCACCCACCCACCAACCACACCTGACGCACGTCGAAGCAAATATCCTCCCACAATACACAGCAGCGGCAACACCTACTCGTCTGGTATTTCGCATCATAGACTTCACGATTCACGCAAGTCCACATATTTGGAGACATCGTAGAAGAGCATCTACTAAAGCCGAGCAGTGACGAGGATATCGCGTTTCTGGCGTCGCTTGATATCGACCAGACCCCGGAAACGAAGTAATTCGCTCACACGGGCTTTAGAAGAGAATTTGTTTGGCCGATTATTTGAAATTGGACTGGCATTTGATAGTCGCCATGATTTCGCTATGTCGGTGCAGAATCTAATTTTCGCGTTTCCGTGCGCTATACGACGCTCACAACCAGGACCAGCCGGGCCGTTCTCGTTATAAGGTCTCGATATTTCGTTTTAGCTCTGGTGATTGCCTGCCATGCTGCAGAATGGAGCCGCTTAGTGCTTTGCAAAAAGTATCGCACAGAGCGTCGCATAGAGCGTCGCACACAGCATCTCACAGATCGCTGCACAGAGCATCGCGCAGATAGCTAGCTCGTCACGTCACGCGTTGGAAGCTCTTACGACCACCCTGCCATCGCGCCGGGCATCGTGACCATAGCAGAACAGCAGGACGCACAGCAGCTCGTCGCACAGCAGCATGGGGAGCAAAAGTCACAACTTGCCGATCCTAACACCCAGGTACGACACCCGGATGCTCCTTGCGTCTGCGTCGTAATCCCGCGCCGCCCAGCTTGCCCCCGCACATGCCGCCAGTGAGTCCAACGCACTCACCACTCCATCTCGCCGCGTCGCATGCAGATCGCACGCGGCGGCTGATGTGGAGGAAGGCGCGCAGCAGGCGGATCTCCGCTCCCCCCTCCTCTCCGTCGGCGGAAGCGCGGGCCCGAAAGAGCGCCACCACCACCACAGCGGCAGCATAGGCGGCGGCGCGGGCCCTTCCCCCGGCGGCGGGGGAAGCTCCGCGTCGGAGGGGAAGCTCTCGAGCTTCTTCCGCGCGGACTCGGCGTCTGAGCGCAAGCGCGACGACAACTGGGCGGTGGGCGCGAGCAGCGGCGGGCGGCGGTCGCGGCGGTTTCAGGTGGCGGGGAGCGCGCTGGTGTCGGGCATGTGCTACTGCGCGTCGTCGTGCTCCATGATCCTTCTCAACAAAGTCGTGCTGTCTGGTTACCACTGGGACGCGCAGATTTCGCTCATGCTCTACCAGGCACGCCCCCACCACCCGTCCATCCCTCCCTCCCTCCCTCCCTCCCTCCCTCCCTCCCTCCCTCCCCCCCCCCCCCCCCTCCCCCCCCCCCCCCCTCCCTTTGCCTCCCCCACTTGCCCCTTCCGTGTCCCCCCTCCCTTTTTCCCGCCCTTCCTTTCTGCCTGTCTGCCTGCCTCCTCACCTGCCCTAATCACCTGCGTGGTCGCACCTCTCGGTCCTTCCATCTCTCCCACCCTCCATTCTTCCTACCTCCCTCCCCCGTCCCCTTCCTATAACATTCTCTCCCCCGCACGCCCTGCTGCCCAGCACCCTGCATCATGCTACCTTCCACTATCTTACCCCGCTCCCTGCCTTCTCCTCTTCTACTGTCCTTCTCACCGCCCTCCCTGCCCTCCGCACCTGTGCCTCGCCTCCTCACTCACGCACTCCCCCTCCTCCCCACAATCCCACATTCATATGCCTATGGGCTGCGGTGTGCACAGAACCTGGTGAGCGTGACGGTGGTGCTGGTGCTCGTGTACATGGGCGTCATTGCCTGCTTGCACGCCCACTGCCCCAATCCATCCGTTGCTGCACCTCTCCATCCTTCCATCCCTCCCACCCGCACACTGTGCAGAACCTGGTGAGCGTGACGGTGGTGCTGGTGCTCGTGTACATGGGCGTCATTGCCACGGAGCCCCTCACGCTGCGACTCATGACCGTGTGGTTACCAGTCAACCTCATCTTCGTTGGCATGCTCGTCACCTCCTTCTTCAGGTGCCCTTCCTGTTTCGTCAGGTGCTCTGCCTGTTCCTTCAGGTGCCCTTCAGTTCAGTTTACTGACTGCTCAGCTTCTGATCCTCTCGTTCGCTCAACTGCTCCTTTCAACGCTTCATTTCACCCTCAACAATTATCCGCATCAACCATCCTCAATCCTCCCCCCTCCCTTTCCCCCCTCCCGGCCCATCCCCCTCCCTCCCAGTCCCATTCCCTCCCCTCCCTCCCCCAGCCTGCAGTACGTGCGGGGGGCGATGGTGATGATACTGAAGAACGTGACGAACCTGATAACAGCGGTGGGCGAGACTGTTGTGAGTCGACTCAGAACCATCCAGAGTCCTTCCTCCCCTCCCTGCCCCCCTCGCCTCCCACCCCCTCTCCCCTCCCCCCCAGTCTGCAGTACATGCAGGTGGCGATGGTAACAATCCTCAAGAACGTGACGAACCTGATAACAGCGGTGGGCGAGATGTACCTCTTCCGCAAGCGCCACTCCTCCAAAGTCTGGGGCTCACTCTTCCTCATGGTGCGCTCTTCCTCATGGTGCGCTCCTCCTCCCACCTTCCTTCCCACGGCACGCCTCTCTCAAACAGTCTCTCTCTCTCTCTCTCTCTCTCTCTCTCTCTCTCTCTCTCTCTCTCTCTCTCTCTCTCTCTCTCTCTCTCTCTCTCTCTCTCCCTCCCTCTCTCTCTCTCGCTCTCTCACAGGCCCTTAATGCACCCTCATGCCATGCTGTGCCGCACCGCCGCCGTCGCCTCTAACCACACCCTCTCTATCCACATGCCCTCGCATGCCTCATCGTCACCGTGCCATGCCGCATGGCTCCACTCAATATCACGCCCCCCCTCATCCTCACCCTACGTCCTCTCTTGCCGTCATGCCTCACCAGCTCGTTGCTCCATGCCTAATCCCCATTCCTCTGCTTCCTGTGCTCCTTGTGCTCCCCATCTCCCCTGTGTGCCTCGCTGCTCCCCATGTCCCCTGTGTCACATGGCATGGCATGGCATGGCATGGCGCCCTGTGTGTGCTCCCCATGCTCCCCCGGTGCCACGCGTCAGATCCTATCGGCCTTCTGTGGCGGATTCACAGACCTGGCCTTCCATCCAGTGGGCTACACGTGGCAGATCTTCAACTGCTTCTTCACCGCCGCGTACTCGGTATGCCGCAACTCCTTACTGTGCCGCTGGTTACGACCTCAATAGGAACTTACAACGCTCATGTGTCAAATTCTCCACGGTGCCCTGCCATGCGCTCTGCCCTGCCACCCCCATCTTCAGGGCCTCACTGCTCCCTCTTCTCCACCCTTCGCCCCCCCCCCCCCCCCCTCCCTCTCAGCTAACGCTGCGCAAGGTGATGGACAGTGCCAAGGCGGCCACCAAGAGCGGGCAGCTCTCAGAGTTCACGATGGTGCTGCTCAACAACGCGCTCTCCTTCCCTCCCGCCATCCTCCTCATCATCGCCTTCAGCGAAACCAAATACCTCCTCCACTCGTGAGTCCCTTGTCTCCTGCACTTGTGAGTGTTACCTGCTTGCTGATTCTTAGGGTTAAAACGGCGAGTGAACACTCATAAGCAAGTCATGACTCATGTCACATTTCCACATTGTCACATTGTCACATTGTCACATTGTCACATGTCACATTGTCACATTGTCACATGTCACATTGTCACATTGTCACATTGTCACATTGTCACATTGTCACATGTCACCCATGGCAGGCAGCAGGCATCATTCCCCCTTTCCCTCACACCCACGCTGTCTGCATCTCTGTCATCATCTCCCTGCATCTCTGTCACACACACACCCTATCGCCTTGCTTATTTCATCTCCCTACGTTCCGCCTTGCTTATTTCATCTCCCTACGTTCCGCCTTGCTTATTTCATCTCCCTACGTTCCGCCTTGCTTATTTCATCTCCCTACGTTCCGCCTACTTGTCATCTGACCCCTTCCCCACCTCCTCTCACAACAGTCCGTTGATGCTGAACGGGGGGTTCTGGGTGGCGGTGACGCTGAGCGGGCTGCTGGGACTGGCCATCTCCTTCACTTCCATGTGGTTCCTGCACCAGACCTCGCCCACCACCTACAGGCATGTACCGTGTGGGCAGCATCACAGCATGTACCGTACAGTACAGCTCGGTACAGGTACCAACCACCTCCATGTGGTTCCTGCACCAGACCTCGCCCACCACCTACAGGTACGCCCTCCACGTCCACCAGCTACAGGTGGGTACCATTGGCACAGCAGCACAGCATGTACCGTACAGCTCGGTACAAGTACCAACCAACCACCCCCATGTGGTTCCTGCACCAGACCTTCCCCACCACCTACAGGTACACATCAGTACCATGTGCCATGCCCATGCCCATGCCCTGGGTGCACCTGCACAGCACACAGAGCGCCCATATGTTCCACTTGCTGCACACTTGCCATCACCCTCCACATCAACGCCATGCTTTCACCCGGACCCCAAAATCTTAAAAAATTTTCCCTCCAACCCTGTACCCACCCACCCTTTTCCCCGCAAACCACTGGCCCCTCAATCCCGTGGCTCCAATGCCAACCCGTGTGCCCATCATCGCTTCGATACGGAGCAGTCTGGTGGGGTCGCTGAACAAGATCCCGCTCTCTCTCTTCGGCATCATTCTCTTCAACGCCCCCACCAACGCTGCCAACATCTCCTCCATCCTCTTCGGTGCGTTCACCCCCCCCCCACTCCAGCTGCGTTCCCACTCCCCTCTCCGTCCCCCTCTCTATCCCCTTCAGTGCGTTCACCCCCCCCCCCCTCCTCCTTTTTGGTGCGTAGTGGCCCAACTTGGCATGCACTCTGATTGCTTTCTTCACTGAGCCTCATCACATCCCTCTCTCATTCCTTCTTCGCCTGTATCATTCCACCCACCCCACCACCTGCCTACCTTTTCTCTCTCCTTCCACAGGGTGTTTTGCAGGAGTGCTGTTCGCACGGGCAAAGATGCTTGGCTGATGCACCACCACCACCACATCACCTGCCGTACACCACTACCACAGTTGCTATTCTGCTTCACCCCTGTTAGAGAAAGCATCAGTGGGGCTACCGGTACCTGTTTGAGTTTCCATGATGGTCATGTGGTTGAGTTTCCCTATCTGCATGTTCAAGAGTGCTCTGTGTGTACAACCTGTAACCACATCAAGAAATGTACTTGATACTGCATGGCTGCCCCAACAATGTACAAAACGAAACCTACAGCCAATGTGATAGCACTACAATTCTTCAGCATTCTAATGGCACAAACTACGGTCATACGCCATGTGTTGGTTGGGCTGAGAAAAGCCCTTAGGATTGTTGGGCTGAGAAAAGCCCTTAGGATCTTTGCGGGGGTAAAACTCCGGTAGGACTATGTAATAGCGGAAGCGTATTAGTGGAGAATTTGTGAACCACCTTGCGCTGGTATGTGAGGGCAAAGTAAGTTGATTATAGCAAAGGGATACAAGAATATATAGAAGATTACAAGGAATACGAAAGGATATAGTTGTAACTACTTTTGCTGTTGCGGTTCGATACAGTGACGACTCGGGCAACTGCTCTGTAACGAGTCAGTTGTGTGTCCTTGCTGTCGCGCTGCACTTGTCAGGTCAAAGGTTGCTTGACCTTTGACTTTCGCGTAACCTCCAGCAACCTCTTTTAACCTCCGAGGGTTGACTCGCGGGTGCTTCGATGTGGCGTGCTTCGCTTCTGGTGTGGTGTTTCGACACGACAGAGGCGTTTACAATTTATTGTTTCCAACACTCCCCTTCGCTTCTGGAGTGTCGCTCTTGATGACGTGGCTTTGTCCAGTCAGCAACATGCAGTACTCGAATTTCTGCTTCCCGAGCTTCTTGGTCAAATAGTCGGCTGCCATCTCGGACGTGGGACAGTATGACAGTTCGAGTCTCCCTTTCTCGATCTCGTCTTTCACGAAGAAATAGCGCAGGGCGATGTGTTTCGTCCTGTTCGCAAAGCCGTTCTTGTTGGCAATGCGGATTGCCGACTGGTTGTCGCAGAACAGTGTGAAGTTGGGTAACTCGGCTAACTTCGCTTCTTCCAGCAGCTCGCGAAGGTAAAGGCCTTCCTTGGTGGCTGAGCAGAGTGCTATATATTCTGCTTCGGCCGATGAGAGGGCAATTAATTCCTGCTTACTCGATTGCCAGGAGATAGGACCGATGGGTTCGAGACGATAGATGTAGCCGGTGCGTGAGCGTCTGTTGTCGGAGTCGCCGGCGTGATCGGCGTCGACGTAGCCGATAAGTTTAGTTGGTGCGGTTGCGTTTTTGTGATACGTTAACCCGATCTTCGGGGTGCTGACGAGGTAGTTAAGAGCGCGATCGAGTTCTGCTAGATGTTCTGCTTCAGGTTTCTTGAGGTGGGTGGCGAGCTGGCTTGCAGAGTACGACAGGTCGGGACGGCAGGTGACGGCTGCGAAGAGGAGACACCCTAGCTTTCTCTGGTAGTCACGTATTCCGGCGGGCTTGAGTAGAGCGGGGTTTCCCGTGCTGTTTCCTGTTGTGTAGCGGTAGGGCGTGGAGATGGCGGTTGGTGTGAGAGCGAAGCGTTTGGCGATGGTGTCGGCATATTTCGCGGCGTTGAGGTAGATCGCGTCTTCTTCTTCTCGGATGTTTAGGCCGAGGTACTGTGTGACGGTAGGTGAGACTGTGAGAGTGAGGTCCTTCTGCAGTTCCCCTTCGAACCAGGAGGTGACGTTGTCAGTCGAGCCGATGTAGAGTAAATCGTCTACGTAGACGATTAGGAGGATGTAGTCTGTACCCTTCGTGAGCCGATACATTCCCTGATCGTGCGGTAGCTGCTTGAAGCCGATGCGAACGAGTCGGGCGTGCAGGTACTGTTGCCACAGTCGTGGGGCTTGTTTGATGCCGTAGAGCGATTTGAGTAGTTGACAGACGTGTGTGGAGTCCGTGCTGGAGCCGTGTGGTAGCTCCACGAAGATCTCTGCGTCAACAGGTGCGTAGAGAAAGGCGTTTGCGACATCGATTTGTCGTAGCTTTTTCTTCTTCATGGCGGCGATCGCGAGGAGAATGCGTAGTGAGGTGTGTCGGCTGACCGGAGCAAAGGTTTCGGTGAAGTCGCGTCCGTGTTCTTGGTCGAAGCCGCGTACGACCCAGCGCGCCTTGAATTTGTCGATGGTGCCATCTGCTTTCGTCTTCACGCGGAAGACCCATTTTCCGGTGAGAATGGTCTTGTTTCGTGCTACGCCGATAGGAACGATTTTCCAGGTGTTGCGTTCTTCTAGCGCTTTCAGCTCCTTGTCCATGGCTTCACGCCATTTTTCTCTGTGCTCCCCCCCCAGAGCCTGCTGAACCGTTGCAGGCTCCTTAGGAATGGCGGCGCCGTGGACTGCGGTGACGAGCCCGAGTATCTGGAGTCCACTCTGTGTGTAGCGGGGGAGTGTGGTGTCCTCGGGATAGACTGCCTCGTCTCCAGCTTCTGGATCAGGTGCGAAGTTGGGCCCTATGCGTTCTGCTTCGTTGGTGTTGACTTCAGCAGGTGTAACGTAACCGTTGTCGGCGAAGTGGTAGTAGGTTTCGGCGTTGACGCTTTCGCGAGGGTTATCTTCGTCCATCGGTACGTCCACTGAGCAGTAGGGGAGAGGTCCGGCTTCTTCCGAGGCTCCTTCCACGTTCTGCTCGTCCCAGTCAGCTTCGTCTCCTGCCGAAGCGAAGGCTCGATCGCCACGGAAGCCACCTGTGGGGTCTCGATTTTCGTCCAGGTTGGCAAGGTATGTTGGCAGTGTGAGCCGCTCGTAGAAAATGACATCACGTGCTGCTACTGTTTCCTTGGTGTGGATGTCGAAGATTTTCCACGCGTTGTAATGTTTTTCGATGCCCAGGTGTAGTCCCCACTGTGCGCGTTGGGAGAATCGGCCGGCTCGTGCAGATGGGGGTCGGTACTGTACCATGCAGCCGAAGACTCGTAACATTTTTGTGCTGCCCAGTTTCCCTGTCCACAGTAGATGCGGTGATGCGTTGTTCGGGAGTGACGACGAGGAAAGCAAGTTGTGCAGCATCACGGCGTGGTCCATTGCTTCGGGCCACTGGTGGTTGGGTAGTCGCATGCCACGTAACAGTTTGCGCATGGTGTTCTGCAGAGTCCTGTTCATCCTTTCTGCTACACCCTGCTGTTGATGGGCGTAGGGAAGGGAGATGAGTCTCTTGATTCCCTTCTCCGCCAGATACTGCTTGAACCGCTGTGACGAGTATTCTCCTCCTCCGTCTGATTGAAAACTTTTGAGCTTAGCTCCTGATTCCCGTTCTGCTGCTGGAAGCCATGCCACGAAAGCCTCGAAAGCCATGTCGCGACTTGGTAAGTTTAGGTGCCAGACGTAACGTGTAGCGGCGTCGATGAAGGTGATGGTGTAGTTATACGCGTTTTGTCCGGGTTCGCGGTTGTACAAGATGTCGCTGTACACTTTCTCGAGTGGTGAATATGCAGGTGCGCTTGGGTTGTGATGCGAGACGAAGGGCTGATGCGGTAAGTCAGCTTCGGGGCAGGTGAAGCACGTTCCTCGGGCTCGCTGAAGTTCTCTGCCGTCGATCAGTAAGAGTGAATCCTTGTCAAGTACTCCAGCTCTTATCGTGTTGTTTAATGCTGTGTTGCTTGGGTGTCCCATTCTTGCGTGCCAGGTTTCTTCGTTGGCGCGGTGTCCTGGCGAGCGTCGGTACATGTCGGAGTTGGAGTAGAAGCCGGCGATGATGTTCGCGCTTCTGTGAACTTCCCGTGGTGCCGGGTTGAGCTGCTGCGCCGGTGTTGGCGGCGTCTCGTCGATGGAGGGCTGTGCCGTTGAGGGACCGGCGACTGGTGTTGATGTTTCTGCTGCTGCTGCTTTTGTCTGTGCTGCTGTCGATGTTGTCTCTGCTGCTGCCGATGTTGTCTTTGCTGCTGCCGATGTTGTCTCTGCTGCTGCCGACTGCTGAATTGTCGCCAGCGCCCTTGTTCTTTCTGTTTCAGGGATGGTGTGTGAGTACCAGAAGCCGCTCGGGCTGAAGTCTGGATCAAGATCTGGAGGATGTGTCCAGTCAGTGAAGTTGACGATGGCGTCGCTGTCGGCCGTTCCGAGATCGGGGACGAAGTCAAGAACGAAGACGTTGTTCTTGAGAACCGCCTTGCCGATGTAGAGACCTCCTCTCCCGTGGTACAGCTTGAATTCCTGGGTTGTGCTGTCTGCTTCAAGGTGAATGCCTTTCGCCATCAGTTGACTGACGCTGAGTAAGTTGTAGCCGAGGCCTTCTGCAATTAAAACCTTGGACATCTGTAGAATGACGTTCGTTTCTCGTGACTGAAGTTGAACAACTCCTTGTCGTCGTGTGCGCAGGTTCTGATTGTTGGCGACGGTGATGACCACCTCTCGTTGAAGCTGGTATTCTCGTTGTACGAAGCGTCCTGAGGAGCACATGTGTTGTCCGCAGCAACTGTCCAAGAACCACGTGTCCTTCCCGGATGGCTCGTTTTGGGCTATGGCAGCGTATGTCGGGTTCGGCTGAAGTGACTCGCGGCGTGGTGTCGTTTCGTCGAGTTGCTCTTCTGGTGAGTAGTACGGTGGTGATTCTGTGATGCAAGAATCGTTCAGTCTTGCCATGCAGCTAACGATGTTTCTTGTTCCTTGCGCAGGTTGTCCCGTTGGAGTTGTTGAAGATTGGAGCTGGGTCGTTGGATTCGCCTGTGTTGATGCGACTTGATTGCTTGAAGGTCGTAGCTGTCGCTGCGGAGTCGTTGACTGTTGTCGATTCGGGCAGTGCGTGCGCGGGTGTCCTGAAGTCTTGCAGATGTGGCAGAAAGGAGGTACTGGCTTCGGTTGTTGCTGTCGATTGTTGTAGTTGTTGTGACGTCGTTGAGTGTGAAACGCGAACTCTGATGTTGTCGTCTTCTTTCTGTGTCGTTCTTCTTGCAGGTCCATGTCCTGCTGCTCGGCGTGGATTTCGGCGCAGAGTGCTGCTTCAGAAATTCTGCCGTGG